GTTGTTCAGCAGGCAATCATGGTTCACACCTTACAAAAACACAGCAACAACTAAGGTGAAAAACGAAGTAACAGCACGAGTAGAACATGGAAAAGCTCCCATAGTCCACGACAATGAACCTATATTCCACACTAGACTAAGGCTAATATCATGAGAACAATTACATTAGGATGGCTTCGTCGACTCTTCTGGCAGATCATCTTCGTCATGGTATATGTTCTCTGCCATCTGCCATATTTGAAGAATGTTGTCTTCAGCGACACTAGCAACAACCCAATCTTCACATGGATTCCAGGAAAAGTCAGATATTTTGCTTGTATGACCACCATGAATGAACAGCAATTCTGGTGGACCATCTTCGGCATCTTCTGGTGACTGCTCTTCATCAATCCTGCACAACAAATGAGTGAACCATGCTATTAAGGCAAACATTTAGAACATATATGATTTATAACTATAGGGTTTTTTCTTTAATAATTTATTTTCACCAGAAAATGAATCCTCAATGATTAAACAATTGACAGCTGAAACACTGGAGCTACACGCTACAAGTAGTGGTAGGAATGGAGCCATGCAGATTGCTTGATATATAATAAAACCGTACTAAAACTAAGTCCAAGGGTGCAAATAGAGAAGTTGTTATCCAAATAATTTTCTTGAAGGAGGAGCTATCATCTGTTTGGTAAAAAATTTAGCATGAATTTTTAACACTCATGTAAAAGCAACCAAAACTCTAAGTAAACATGTTCCCCCCTAAAGAAACATGAACCTATTGGACTGCTTGTTAAGGATTTAACACTGATCATGATGTAGACACTAGGGCTGGGCATCAAACTGAGGTCCAAACCAAAACTGTAAAACCCATAAATAGTAATAAATCCACTAAAAAGTACAGAGATGATAATGCTTTTATTAAGCAATACCTGCTAAGATCCCACACCATGAGTCTCCTACCCAGACAACAAGAAGCCAAGATAGTCTCATTCTTTGGATTCCAGCCAACCTGGAAAACCTCTTCCCTGTTGGACCCAAAAAAAATAATCCAGATTAATAACTGGTAATTACAAGTACAAATAGAGTTATTACAAAAACATCTGACGAGAATGTTACTTGTGAGAATCAAAGATGTGCAGTGGACTACTGATCTTCCGCAGATCAAACAACTTCACAGTTTTATCCGTAGATCCAGTAGCAACAACCCATTCGTTAAAGGGATTGAAAGCCAAACAGTTAACCTAACAAGATATCCAAGATAAAATAAATGAATAAATAATAACAGTGAACGTTATTGAATAGAAGAGTACTAGCATTTTAAAAACATTGAAAACCCGCCAAAATATGGTGAACATAGCAGAGTTAAAAAGATACAAGCAACTAAAGCATAATGGAGAACATTACAGAAGCAGACAGACTGAAAATTAGAAAAAGCTCAAAAAGTCTGAGCAAACAAAAAACGAAAAGGCCATAGAAGTGAAATAGTATCAACATACAACTGGAGGGAGGAGTAATGTCCCGTTCTTAAATCTTCGCCACAGTTGCAAACTTATGTGTTTTAGCTTATTGATTTTCCTTTAATTACCCATAATTAAGTCTTTAATTTCAATTTGTCACCAATGTTAAACCAGCAATGCCCTTTATAGATTCAACATCTGTGATTAGTGAGTCAGGCCAAACTTTCTCATAAATTTATAGATTTCAAACAAAAGTAATGATGATATTTAATTCCTTCTCCAATAACAACACACCTCACTTTGATGAGCAACAACAGATTGGACAGGCTTGCTGGCAGCTGGCGTTCGAAGGTCCCATATCAGCAAGTATTGATCATCACCAACAGAACCAAATAAGTACTCGTGCCTCAAATGCCAAGCCACGTCTTCCACAACACCTTCGTGTACCTAGTCACAACAATAAAATCATCTACAGTTTGCAACCACTTATTAACCTAACTGCCAAGAAGCAAGATGCAGTTACAAACCTTAAAAATTTGCATTGCATCGAGGGACTTATTCTTGGGAGTGCCATTAATGTCCCACAAGCAAATCTGAGCATCATCAGAACCGCTAAGCAAGTGGCCCTGCTTGAACTTACTCCAGGACAAGCCATAACCTTCAGTATTATGACCCCTAAGCCTCAAATCAGGGTTACAGGCCCCATCAAGAGGGGGCTTAGAGGGATGCTTGCTATAATCAAAGACATAAACCTCAGCACTAACAGTCTTTGTCGCAATGATGAAGGGGTTCTGGGGCATATAGCGAGCCCTGTTAACCTCACCCTCGTGGTTGATCTGCTGGATGATCTGAACCTTTCCATTGGCACAGCCAAAGCCACCAATGTCAGGGCGGTCATCATCATAGTGGCGAGCATCGTTCTCAGCATCATCAAGGGGGAGTTGGACCTGGGCCAGCATGAGGTAATTGGGCTCATTCTCAGAAGTGTGGGTGCCCAAGATGACCTTCTGGAGAGAGTAATCTTTGCCAGGGGGTTCATGGCGGTCAGGAAGCCACTCCACAGTGAGAGAAGGCCATTCGAGGGCATGCGTAATGACCAGATCATACAGGAAAGGACTGTTCTTCTTCCATATCTTGTACTCTTCATTTATCAGTCGTTCCTCTATCTCACCCCGCATCTCTTCCTCCTCTTTCCCCATCCACACTCAATTTATTCTAACCCTAACCACCCTGCTCTCTACAATGCAAACACTCGCAATTGTTTGCAATTGCAACTTATAATCCGTTCCACTAGTGGGCTTGGGTTGGTTCCCCTGCTTGTCTACTCCCCTTGCACCCACTGCAGCACATCAAACACAAATGAAGCCCAATTAGCACCTTAAATTCATATGCAGTAAAGAAGTTCATGAATTGAAAAACGACATACATCCTTAAAAATGATAATTAATAAAATAATTAGCTGCATCTCAAAGCAATATATTTGCCAATTAATATAGGGGTTGGATTATGCTTCAGTGGATCCAATTGCCGACTGACTCTACAGGTAGAGGTATCTTCAGAAAACTAGTAAATTATTGAAGAGACGTATCTTTTTCTATCCATGTCATTGAAAAATAAAAAGAACTTGACATATTTCTCTTTTACAGACAACAATATTTGTACAAAATCTTAACTAACCCATAAACGTGAGAAAAATCATCATTATCATCGAATCGAATACAAAACAATGTTGCAGAGAATTCAGTAGATAAGAAGCACATAATCATGTGCAATGTAGCCTTCGTAACATAAAACCTATGCAAAATACAAAGCAGAGTTAAAGACAGAACACTACATATATGACACGACGCCTGTACCAGATCACATAATCAGTTTATTCAATGAGATACACAGTGCAATTCCTAATAAGAGGGCTTCCAATTGAAGAATTTGACGTAACAAACAAACCTTAAAACCAAATCCTTTTGGTCGCTTTGGGAATTAAGGTTTGAGTTCTGAGAAAAAGAGGAGGAAAAAACGCGGTTAGGTTAAAGCAAAATGAAATTGAAAGGGAAAG